TTCATAAAAAGGGTTTTTGTCAAGAGCCAAATGTATTGCTGGTAATTTTTATTTATTTATTTATTATTTTTTTACAAAAATGTATTACTGATATTTTTACTATAAAAATCCATTTTTATACTTTCATAGTGTTTTGACTCAATTTTGGGGGTTAACTATTTGCCCATAGGTGGGACCCTAACAGGTGTTACCACCCCAGGTCAGGGTGGACTTGGGAAAAAAAGCAATTAAAACCTTATGATTAGAGGCCTTGCACAGACATACAGAGGTGTTGAAAAGTTCTTACCCTGACCCACTTCCCAAAACTTGACCAAACAATGGATATTTTTTAAAATCCTGTTTGGTGGGGCTAAAAACTTTTCAGTACCTTCGCCCTCATATATAGAAAATTGAATATGTGCTCCCATCACAAAAGCTTTCAAAAGTTGACATAGAAGTAAATCCTTGTCATGTTAGATAGGCTTTGTGAATTTTTCTAATATTGCAGGAAAATGAGTTTGTAAATTTATTTTCTAAATTTTACCAAATTATCACTTATTTTATTAAATGAAATTATTTCTTAAGATTTAAATTGATTTTAAATTATTTAAATTAATTATACTTATTTTTTCTTTTATAAAAAAACGCATGAGTTAAAAATTTTAAAGTTGGTTTTGTCATACTATTCAGGGCTGCAATTATCCTGGAGAAGGATGATAGAAGTGTATTTATATATGTTATCATCATTTCTAAACAGAAGATAGTTATTGAATCATATTTCTAAATGGGACAGAAATATTTGAGACTGCATTTTATTGTAGCATGTAATTTAAAGCTGCCATTTTTGTGTCTGTCTGTATCTTCATTTCTATTCCATTTATTTTAAAATTTTTATTCCTTATTTTGGAAATTTTTATAAAATGTAAAATAGAACTGAATTTCTTGAATGTAACAATTCTGATTGAATCAAAATTTCTGAACCAAATGAACGTTGTTGGCTTCTTTTTAATGCAATTCATACAAAGTATGGCAAACTAATGTAATTCTATTAAAAAACCTGGGCAAGAGAGGGTACTGATTGTGTGTGTATATATATATATATATATATATATATATATATATATATATATATATAGAGAGCACACACATATACAATGTGCATTCAAAAAGTTTCTGACTTTATTTTTCACCTCAAAACTAATATCATGTGAGCAAATTCCTTTGGGTGGGAGATGACAACATCCTTCCTGTACATGCTTGTAAATTTTTGTGCCAGTAAATCATGTTAATTCCTGGCTGTTACACCTAGAGTACAGATGTGTAGTTTGTGCTTGTCAGATTTTTGTTTTCATGCAAGATGACTGAATACATCAAGCAGAGATATTGCATCAAGTTTTGCCAAAAGCTTGGTGATAATCAAACTCATGTAGACGATCAGCAGGCTTCAGATGAAGGAGTGCTTCGAATGTGGAGGCACACTCAGACAGGCCATCCCACAAACTGAAATGAGGAGCTGATTGAGAAAGTTCAGCAAATAGTCATGAAGTGGGAATAAGGACAGAATTAGCACGCATTCCATTTTAGCAGAATTTGTTGAAATGGAAAATGTCAGTGAAATTTGTCCCAAAGTTGCTGGCAGAGCAGCAGAAGCAACTCTCCATGGAAATTGCTCAGGACATGCTGGACTGTGCAGACCACAAGCCAGACTTCATGAAGACCATCATCACTTGTGATTAAGCATGAGTTTATGATTATGGAATTGATTTGAGTTGTGAGATGAAATTAGGAGAAAAGCGACGGTGGAGAAGGTGTTCCAGAAGTGTTACCAGTAGTGACAGAACGTCTGGGAAAAGTGTGTAAGCTCCCAAGGGGAATAATTTGAAAGTGATGAAATAAAATTTGTGAAATGTACAAGAGGAGGTATGGTGGAGTAATGGATAGCAGTTCGGATTGAGGAATCGGAGAGCCGAGTTCAAATTCCAATCGAATCCATTACATTCACTTACATGCTAATACCCTGGGACCCTGGGGAAAGGTATAAATCCTCTTCTTCTCCCTCCAGCTATGGGTAAATAGCAGAACAAACTGTGTTCTATAGCCTTGGATGGCAACTGGTATATTGCAGAAAGAAAAAAAACCTACCTCGTCAGTCATGTATCGAAAGATACATGATCACCTAAGTGTGTATCACATATGGCACATACCTGACTGACTGAAATGTACAAAAAGTTTGGATACTTTTTGAACACACCTTTTTGTGTGTGTGTGTGTGTGTATATATATATATAATTTATTCAAAAATAACATAAATATGTTATAAAATCACTACAAAAATAGCCATTTTGCTTCAACACTTCTGGTGCCTTATCAAGTGATGGTGTTGAATGTAGAATAAAGAGTTTTAAAAGGTTCATATCGATGAAACACCCCTTGATAGTGGAAACACTGTTACATAAGCTGCAATGACCAATCAAAATATAAGTCTATGAGAATTCAAAAAACTTGATAACGAACCTTGGTTATAATAATTAATGCCTTAATGTTAGGGATAGACTAAAACAGAAATCATTCTAATTAGTATTAAATTTTACTATAAAATTGAAAATTAAAAATTACTAATTTTATATTTAATCTATATTAAGTTTAAAATATCATAAAATTATTTAAAGAAGAAACTGTGGAAAAAATACATATATTTTATTATGTATTGTGTTAGTTGAAAGGCCAAAATCACAGAATAAACATTAATCTAATGGCGATGTAAAACTTTGTTACAACTTAGATACATTTGTAGTGGTGATATGGGCAGAGGAAGATGAAATCTAGCAAAAGACAATACATACACAATCAGATTATAATACACAAACACGTAGACATATTTATATATATATATATATATATATATATATATATATATATATATATATATATATATAGACATGTAAAAACACAAACAAAATAGGAAAATTTGGGTGATATGAAGAATAAGGTTTTAAGCTGAAACTAAAAGAGGGCTGACAAGGGAGTTTTATATATATTAAAAAATTTTTTAATTAAATATAAAAAAAAAGATTGTGTAGGTTCTGTATCAATTTTTCGAATGTTGTCAAAGTTAAATTTTAAATCTCTAATTCCAACATTGAACACAGTTCACACACTGGGGTTGAATAAGACTAATGTACTTCGTGTTGGTTGAAATAGATCTATCCATCCATATGAGGTAATGTTTAATGGATGTCCTCAAGGACACATGGCACAGTGGATGAAGGTGTTAGTTAGATCCAGTGACAGGACCCAAAGAGTGTGAGTTCAATACCCAGTTAAGGCAATAGAGAACTTTCAGAGGGAAAATAACAGGAGATAACTGATAACTGACATCCATTAAACATGGAGCTAGAACAGTCTACCCCAGTGAGCGAAATAAAAGGTTCAGTTTGACATTCCAACCACCTGAAGAAGTCTGGAGTGTACAACAGCCGAAATGTTGTAATAAATATGGCGACAAAGATGAGGACAATAGTCCGAATAATGTAAATAATGTATATATGGTATTGTAAAATTAAAATATTAGAATTGTGCATTTATAAACTATTTTATTTATGATCAAATAATAAATTTATAATCATGCAAATTTTTTTAATTATTAATTATTTTTTAAGGAAAACATGAGACATTGTCTACAAAAAAACTACTATTTCATTTCTTTTATTTAATAAATTTGTATTTTTCAGAAACTTAATAATATATAACTTTTCATGTAGGCACAAAGGACATGGGTCATTTAAAGATCTACATGTTCTTGTTTTTTTTTTATTAGTTTCTATTTTACTAAAGTAGAGGACTATTTTATACCTAACAAACGATGCTATTAGTACAGTGTCAAAAACAACTGTAACAACACTTATCCTGCGAAAGAATGAAATGGAAAAAGCAAAAGAAAACTAAAATAAAAAAAAATCAAGAAAAAAAGAAAAAAGAAAACAAAAAAGAAACAGACAACTACCTACAGAAAATTCTTAAAGTGCTCAATTCCACTAGAAATTAGACTAAGACAGAGCAGTAACACTAACCAAACAGCACTCAGGGATTCCAATCATTGTTCTGTTTTGTTTGTTAGTGTATATACATATATATTGCTGATATCACCTGTCGAGTGGACCAAGCAATTGCTAAAGGGTCCGTCTATGAAACTCTAGAGTCGAGATGCTGAAAATAAAATCAATCAGCTTAGTGACAAATTTCATATTTGTATTAATCCTACAAATATCTTTATTTTTTAAGCATGAAACAGGCTGTTGTGTCTGGTTGTTGACTTCATTGTCTGCTTTTATTTAAATATGTGTCTGATACAACAGAATTGTCACTAAAGACAATTGACAAGGTACCGTGATTAAGCTTTTTATTCAGTTTTTCTTGTATAATTTCTTTTCTCGACATAAAATGCATAAAAATTGCTTGAATGTTCTATATATCAAAGCACTTTTGGCTATTCTATTAGCCATTATCAAGGATGTTTTTTATTTTTTTTATTTGTAACTGAATCTATAGATTTTTCTAGAGTGATGGGATTGTTTTTTTTTTTCCAAACACAGTCAGTATATTATGACCATGTTCATAGTTGATGTTATTGAATGTTGCCTTTTTACTATAGAAATTGAAAATCCAGAAGAAAGGGATTGTCAATGGTCAGGAATGGAATAGGGAAATTACAAATACAATTAAACACTACAAAGATTTTTGGAAATGGCATTGTGAATGTTTGCATTTAAGGAAAGAATTTATTTCATTTAATAAGAGAGAAACAGTAATTATTCACATATTGTAGATTTTGATTAACATTGATATTTATTCCATTATTTTTGGCGCCATTCTTGATATGTTCTTTATTGGAATCATTTTCAGAATTTTTCCTCCTCATTTTACTTTCAAATGTTCAAAAGAATATTGCAGAATAAAATTATTTATTAATAGAAAGTATAATAAAGTATTTCTAATGATTTATATTTTACTTATCTCCACAGATGTGCCCAGTATGTTCCTACAATATTTAAAAAGTTTTTCTCGACGTCGATGCCGGGTTCGATTGCGTAGTTGGCTTTTTCCCATCCTGATCGTTGTCATCATTGTTCTCTGGTATTCTCAGTTGGAAACGCCCCCACTTGGAGATGACATGTCACCGGAGCTTTTACCTGAAGGTCTGATTGAACCCAAACCTAGGGCCCAAATCAACAACTGGGCAGTGGGTAAGCAACTCCTTGCCCACACAGAAAAAGGTATTGCCCACATTCGTGAATTCTTACCTAAGCTTTATCCTCCAAATTGGGGTAAAGCAAAAGATGCAGATGAAATGGTTCTGGAGACACAGCGGCTTTTAGTAGACTTGGGTTACCATTCAGGAATGAGTTGTCGAGATATTGATAATATTCAGATGTATTCGTCACTTTCAACAAGTGAGAGGAAACATGTGGACGTTGGAATTTTAAACAAGAAAGAGGTTATCCTTAAGACACAGGGCCGTGACCTGAGTATAAAGATAAGCTGTATGCAAACCGTGTACGATGCAGCTAAGTGTACATACATGGGGAATTACCGTCTCTTACGAGAGGTGCTCTTTCACGTGGCTTTGAAAAGTGCAGGGATTACCCAACAGTTGGGGTACTGTTTACGAGGAGACAGAATAGGTGGGACTCTTCGTGAAAAAGGAGTCATTCTTGTTGTGGAGATGGGTTACCCTCTCAGTACCAGTGATATTAAACGTTATTCATGGCCAGTCAGAATAGAGGTAAGTAAATTTTTCTTTTTTCTCTATTCATCTATGTAAATTTAGCCAACCACATATTGAAAGTGTGAAAAAATTTTCAGAAAAGTTTTCACTCCCCCCATAAAGATAACTTGAATTCACCATTTGCCAAACAATATGCTGAATCTGTACAGAATCGGCCATAGCCTCTCCCACAAATAAACAAATTCTCATTGTTTGCTTTGTGCGTTCATTTTTTCTTCTTTTCAGACAAATTTGAAATGGGAAATTTAAAAAAATATTTCATCCTTATTTACATCTTTATCTTTAGCTTTTGGCTGTTGTATGCTCTGGCCTTCTTCAGGTGATTGGAATTTTTCTTCAATATCTATATCTCTGAGATGAGTTATTATGATTACTTGCATTATTTACATTATTCTTACCGTTATCCTCATCTTCATTGCCATATTCACAATATTTCAGCCATTGTACACTCTGGCCTTCTTTAGGTGATTGGAATTTCAAATCGAACACTTTATTGTGTTTTAGTTCCACATGCCATGCCTCTTCCGGATGTCTCAGTTATTTTCCTTTAACTCAACTCTCTAAATTATTGGTTCACCACAGCTGTGGCCTGGTATTGAACTCTCAACTCTTTGGGTCTAGTCACATGATCTAATCAACGTCTTTATCCACAGGGCCATGTGTCCTTGAAGATTTTAAAAAATTTCCCATTTCAATGAAGATGAGGATAATAGACTATTAAACATGGCACGTGGAACTAGAACAACAGTCTACCACTGTGAGCGAAATAAAGGGTTTAGTTTGACATTCCAACCACCTGAAGAAGGCTGGAGTGTACAACAGCTGAAACGTTGTAATAAATATGGTGACAAAGATGAAAACAATAGTCTGAATAATGTAAATAGTGTATATAATACCTCATCTCAGAAATATAGACAGATACTGAAAAGCCGAAACGTTGTAATAAATATGGTAACAAAGATGAGGACAATAGTCCGAATAATGTAAATAGTGTACATAATACCTCATCTCAGAAATATAGACAGATACTGAAGAAGGCCGGATCATACAATGGCCGAAATGTTGTAATAAATATGGCGACAAAGATGAGGAGAATAGTCCGAATAATGTAAATAGTGTATATAATACCTCATCTCAGAAATATAGAGAGACACGTTATTCTTATATGACAATAAAGAATCAGCACATATGCTATGCAACAGAAATCTCCTCAGCTGGCCAAGCATAGAAATGAATACAATATGGGAACCAGTAATACAAAGTACTATAGAAAAGCAATAATAACAAAATTACAATATGAGCTCTGGTAAAAATGGTTACTGAGGCATTAAGTTTATAAGTCCTAAAAATTCATACATATGGCCTATTGGATAAAAGTGTTGGTTGGATCCAGTGATTTGACCCAAAGAGTTGTGAGTTCAGTACCTGGCAACTGCAGTGGTGAACAAAAAATTGAAGAGTTGAGTTAAAGGGAGATCTGGAAGAGGCATGGCACATGGAGCTAGAACTATCTACCCCAGTGGATGAAGTAAAGGGTTCAGTTTGAAATTTCAATCACCTGAAGAAGGCCAGAGTGTACAATGGCCGAAACGCCATGAATATGGCAATAAAGATGAGGACAACAGTCTGAACAATGTAATTAATTACAATAACTCATCTCAAAAATATAGATAGATGTTGAAGGTGAATATGACAATAAAGATGTGGATAACAGTCCAAACAATGTAAATAATGACAATACCTCATCTCAGAAATATAGGCTGATCCTGAAGTAGGCCTGTGCGTACAACAACTGAAACATCGCAAATATGGCAACAAAGAAGTGGGTAACAGTCCAAACAATGTAAATAATGACAATACCTCATCTCAGAAATAGAGACAGATGCTTTTGCCATTAAAGTTCATCTTGAATGAAACAGTTAAAAAGAAATTCCCAAAAATAAAACCTTTAATTGCCTAATGTAGGGAGGTGGTTTTAATAGCCTGGCTGACTTTACTGATTAGGCTACAAAACTTGCCAGTGGATGTCATTCCTATTTAGTTGTATCATTATCCATTTTTTTTTTTTTTTTTAACTCTATATTGTTTGTTTACATCTTGTAATTGTATTTGAAATTTGTAAACATTGTCATTAAGTTGTGAGATATACTTCTGACAAATTTATAAAGAAAATAGAGGCTTTGAAAGAGAAACCATTGATGAAGAGAATTATAACATTTGAAAAGAAAACCCTTTTCTCTTGCTGAATTGTCGGGTTGGATATTACACACTGCTGTTTATTTTTTGACAGAAAATATTGTATTTTGTATCTTATATCTTAGTTGGGATGAAAACTTTTCAGCATCCCCTCATATATACATTGTTTATCTTTCTCTCTCTCTCTTGAAATAAGAGGAAAAAGAGAGAGAATCTTTATGCCATATATTTCTAACATTTATTGGAATGGTTATGTAGTCACATTAAAGATAGTAGCAGTAGCAGCTCTTGAAGATAAAAACATGTGAACCCTAAAGTAACTCTCTTTCTGAGTTTTCCCTCTTTTGAACTGCTGACATGAAATTTCCACACTGAAGCTAAAAGGGCTGCAAACACTTCACCCTTAAAACACACAAAGTTCCCACGGTAGCATATTAATGAACATGTCATTGCATATATAATTTACTTCTAACAAAAGAACCTTGTTTTAAACTTTTGTTAATTTTGTTTTAATAAATGTTATTTTGCATTGCAAATCAATTGGTCTGTTATTTTGTTCATGTACTCTTTTTCGCCTCCGTTATTTCATGTTCTATAAAATGTTCCCATAAGAAACCTTACACATTTCATTATTGAAATACCTAACCACTAAAGTTATTTTAAATTATTTTAAAGTTTGTTGAATAGGAATAATTATGGAGTGTAGTTATTTTATAGCTTTTATCTATAGAGTTCTTGGGTTTGGTTATTGAAAGGTCAAAATCATTTTTTTCTATCCGATTGTATAAATTCAGAGTTATGTTTGTTTTTTAGATTATGGCACTGTCTGTGGTAGATTTTGTGTTTTTCTACTTGTTTATTCCTCACTTTTGTTCAGTTATGAGTTAATTTTTTCTAGTATTATTTTACTTATTTTATCTAGTTTACTTTTAGTCGAGTTTATGAGTCTGCATGTTGCCCTTTTTTCAATTTTTCTAAGAGGTTTTTAGAATAATGGATGCTTGAGATAAATAATGATTTCAAAGTTAACAAACAATCCTTATACATTATCTATAAAATAATGATATTCTATCCCATAATTATTTCTATTCAACTGCGATTAGAATAATTTAAAATGACTGATAATGAGTTCTATAATCTGTTGGGAACACCACAAGTAGTTGGTATATCTTAGGACATAATGGAACATATCTTTCTTCAGAGCAGTTTTGAATTCTGAGTTGTCCTCTTTGATTACTCTACCAAGGCTAAAGAACCCAATCTGCCCTGCTATTTAACTCATAGGAAGATTCATACCTTTTCTTAGGGCGTTAGTGCGAAGTAAATGAAAATAAATGATTCAGTCACAACTTGAATTCAGCAAATGTACACTATCTAACATCAGTAAAAAGAGTAATCATATATATATATATATGTTAAGAAATGGACGAGGTCCGACAATTTATTTATTATTTTATTTTTATTTATGTTTTTGAATTCAGCAAATGTACACTAAATGTTATTTAATACTGTTTATCATAAACAGAGCATTTGCTTAAATACTTGTATCTATAAAATAAAAAAACATAAATAAGTAATAAATATATATATATATATATATATATATATATATATATATATATATATATAGTGATAGAAATTATATTAGAGTGATTAGAAGAATCCTCAACAGAATGCAGAAAGCACAGGATGGCTTTTTCATCCTATTTTGGGATTTATAGTGCGCATCCACTACTGAGAATCAATTTTAGTAGTAGATGTGCATCTGAAGAGATAAATGCAAAAATTCATGAAATAATTTATAATTGATGGAACTTTAGGGATTCTAATATATATATATATATATATATATATATATATATATATATATATATATATACTCAGAAAACATGTAACCATCTATCTCCGCAGGCAGATTTATATCTGTTTAACACCCACAGATCCCACCTGTGGTTTATACTGCAACTATATCGAGTGGACCTTAGCTACAGTTTCTGGAAGAGACTGCATAATCTTGTATGATCAGCAGTTTGAACAATGCTAATACAGTCAAATGCTTGGTCACAATTACTTTGTTTGCACAAATGGCAACAGATTCTGAACAGTTTCATCTACCCAATTTCACCCTTGCTTCAAACTTGTAGCATAGTTTTCTGGTGCACTTTCCAAAGGTGCAGCGCATGCTGAGATTATCCCTCCTCAGATTGATGTCACTGACAAATCAACCATGGTAAGAGTCAAACTCGGATCTCCTGGTTAGAAAGCCACATTCTAACCACTTGGCTACACATCATTATATATACATTTATACTGATTTCTTTTCCCACACTTCCAACCTGTGGAATATACTTCTGGGTCCATGCTTTCCGGCGAACATTAATCTTCAAAAATTTAAATGCAATGTCAATTACTTTCTACTCTACTCCTGATTACACTTCTTTTTTTTTTTTATTAAATCTGTATCACACCATGCAAGGCAGTATAGCCACTAAGACACAAGGGGTTATATGGTGTGGAAGAATTAGGAACAGAAACATCAATCATGAGCAGGAATGGCAAAGAGCAATCTAGAGGACAGCAGATAGCGATTGACATTGCATTTAAATGTTTGCAGATTAAAGTTGGCTGGAAAGCATGAAGCCAGAAGGGAATTCCACATGTGAAATGTGCAAGAAAAGAAATTGTTAGCATAGAATTTACAGTTACACCTCGCCAGCTCAACTTTAAATTGATTAGATCTCAACAGCAGTCTAGTACTGTACTTAAATTCAAGGTACCATAGTGAAGAGCTCTTCTGAATA